TTTCCCTACCTTCCATTCCCTCTGCCCATCATTTCCTCTGTTCACTATTACGAAACATTCTCTTTTGCTATCCAGGAAAGTTTCTAGCCATATTGCTTGGTTTTCTTATAAATATTTAATAGAAATTATTACTGGGAAGTATTCTCCTATCCCAGACAAGACAGAAACTGTCAAGCTTAGTGCTATTTTGAAGCTCAGCAGGGAGACAGCCAGGTATGGAAGAACCCTCTAATTTAGCAAGGCAGGTCTGCCTTCAGAGAATTGGGTCCTTTTGTCTGAGCAGAGACCACAAGCTCGCTTCTCCACCCATGAGATGCCTCTGTCTGAAACCTAAATCTCTGCCCCACTTACATGTTGAATAGTTGGCAGCAGTGGCTCTACCACATGCCTGACAGTACTGCTTGCATCTATGGGTAGAGCATGAAAGACCATCACCGGGGTCTCTTTGGCTGAATACTTACTCCTGTCACATTCATGATGTGGTACCAGTGTCTCTCCCGGACTGCAGGATTTTGCAACTCCAGTATTGCCCTCAGTGATGACATCAGATTCTTCACCTTTAACTCCAAGCCCCTATATACATCCCGGGAACGAACGTCTTTATCCAAAGACCACATTTCCTAAGGAATAAGATTAAAATAGTTGCAATAATTACTTGTCATTAGCAGGCACCCTGTTGATCGCTTTAAGAAAAATTTAGGAGGTTTGTCAGAAAACTCTACTTTCCTCTTTCAAAGGCAGATGTGTGGGACAGTTGTAGTCAGAACAAGCCTAGGGAAGATTTTATTGGGGTCATTGGTTTATGTGGCAGATAAAGCAAAGGCTCTGGAAATGTACTTTCCAGAATGTCACTTATAGTAATGGAACTGTATTAACACTGCATTTACACAGTAATTTTATGATTATAAAATACGATTGGATCAGAGCCATTTACTTCATCACAGCCCTGATGATTTAAATCTAATTGTCTTACTGCAGATGAAAGTATCCATAATTTAATATATTCCAAACCACCATTCAGGGGGGTGAGGGAGACTCATATGCACAGCAGAGCATGATGAACATGACAGAAGTGATCAGCTCACGGGCAGCGATCAGCATCATCTCTGTTCCATGACCTGGCATATGTGCCACAGTGAATGATGCAAAAGGAGAAGGGGAATGCTGTTATCTCAACTCTCTCCTCACTTTTACCACCCCCATCACAAAATATGACCCCCAGTATCATAATGGGCTAAGTGGAGTCACATTGTTTTGAAGCATTTTAAGCGAAGACATCTGCTGTAAGTCTGATTCTTCCCTTCTACTAACTGGGCACACAATTAAACTTATTTATTCCTGATTGAAACAAATGTGTAAAGAAGAAACTTTATACCCATTAGGTTCAAGACTTACTTCCTTCCATACTCAACTACTATGCTGTCTATGAACCACAGCTATTCCTCTAGTGTCCTGCAAATAGTCTGGGGGCCTTTGTTGCTATTTTTGCTTCATACTTGCCTTGTCCCATTGCAACTGTCTTCTGCAGGGCTACTATGAACAAAATTTTGCAGATACTTCAAGCAAAGAAAGTGCCCTCCCTTTAAAAATGAGCATCTTTGCTGCAACTCCCAACACTCTGGAGCTATGTCTAAGAGCAGAGCACATAAACATCTGCAAATTCCACCTGCCTCTAAAAATAATGACTTTCATTTGGTAGAGCCTGTCATAAAATCCTATCCCCTTTATTCTTTCACATATTGCCTCAATTCAGAGAAGCGACAGCACAGTTTGACCACGTACTTCCACAGGGGCTGGAAACTCAGTCAGCAGAATAAAGTTTTAAAGGAAAGCCCCCAAAACAAAACATGTTCCAGAACATTCAGTTTGGATGCAAGCAACAAATCTACTGGAACATCAAAGTGGGTGGGAAGAGTGAGGAAGGGGTGGCACCGAGACAGATAAATTGCAGAAAGAGACAGCTACGGAACCTGCCTTGGCAAACCTTCTGAGCTCCACATCCATCTGTTCCACATTAATCTGTCTCCACTGGATTTTAGCCCAATGATCAATGCTGCTCTGAAACAGAAAGTACAGATAAAAGTGTCAACAACATTTGGTAAAGACAAGCTTCTGCTATGTAACAGATAAATGGATGGAGGGGGAAAGTTGATCACCAGCAGTAGCTCTTGGACCTTATTTTTTCCAACCCTACACCACCACTACCTAGAAAGCATGCAAAATAATCCATCTTCTCAAAATTCAACCCAAACCCCAAGCATTTAAATAATTTTATACTTCAGTTTCTTATAGGTATACATATATACCTTTCTTGCACTATTAAATACACACCTATATCCACTAATAATATACAGATGTACCTGGGAAATGTGGCAGAAACTGCCCTGCACCCCCTCTGGGCTAGGCAACGCTAGGCAAACAATTATGGAAAGAAAAGCTAGTACGTATATTTTTAACCTTGGCTATGAAAAACAACTTCTTGAGGTAAACAGAACTTTACAAGGGTGATTTCCCATACAGTCCTGTACACCGACTTTTCTGGACTCTTGCTTCTAGTCTTCTACAGCTTTCCAACGTACAATCCTCAGATCTGAAGTGGAATTTTCTGGCTTTCTGAATTTTACTCAATGATTATAATTATTCAAGCAAGTTATTGATATTTAAAAAAGCTCTAAATGAAGCTACAAAGTTTGTTTTGCTTTGGGATTATCTTGAAATTGGTTAACTTGAGAACAGAGATATTTTTACTCTAGGTATCCTAAAACATAGGAACTATAATTTCAAAAACAAAAGGAATATGAAAATCTTCATTATTTTAAACTTTTTTTCTTTTTAAATCAAAACTATAACACTTCTAGGATCAAATTAAAAATATAACATTCAAAATATATTCTAACTTTTTAATTATTAAAAAAAGAAATCTTACATCAATATAAGCACTAATATCCTAAACTTTCTTGAGCAACTGCATTTCTTCGTCTGGAATAGCTACTTCAAATAGTTTTGCAGATTCCTGCATTAGTAACATTTCTTTTTCCAGCATCTCAAGCTCTTGATTTGCCTTGAAGAGGAAAAGCGCACTCAATAAAGTACAGTTATAGGGTATTTTGAGCTTACCTAAACCTGTCAGTGAAATCTAGAGATCCTGTATGTATGATTCAATATAAGAAAAGCTGAAAGCAATTATTGCAAAGAGGTTAAAAAGTTGCTTTTGCATTATCTCTGAAAGCACCCAAAAGGCATAAGAAGGGCTCTACATTTGAACCATAAAAAGAAAAGCTGCATAGAAAACAGTTAGTTTATACTCTTGTAATAAATCTCTTATTAAACCACTTCTCCTTACTTTAAAGTTGTATAAATGCTAACAAAGTCCCTTCACAATGTTTTAAAAAGATCCACTAAATCTTCAAGATTTAGTGTATTCAAGAGCACATTATGCTGATGCTTTAAAAGAACATGAATAAAGAATATGAGCAAGTATTCTGAAATTTTTTATTTTATCAGTGAGCATATGCAACATTGGAAAAGAAACAAGAGAAATCTAAATTTGGTGGTGCTAGAATTATGCCAGCTTCTTGGAAAAAAAAAATAAACACAAAAACCAACAACAAAACCACCACAAACCACAAACAACCCCCCCAAAAAAAACCAAACCCCCAAAAAACAAACACCCCCCCCCAAAACCCCAACCCACAAACATTTTAATATGTACATTGAAATATCATTCGATTTAGTACTGAAAGATTACAAGCAAATGTGTTTTTCTGAGATTCCCCATTACCTTATCGGAGACAAGCATATGCATCTTCTGCATCAAACTGAAAGGGAGCTTCCATTTTAAATCTTTCTCTGAATTCCACCTGCTTCCCCTGATGAAACACAGGTAATGACACCTGTCACTGATCATGTTCTCACAAAAAACCCAGAGATTAAAAAAAAGACTGATCACAGAATTCAACATACATCAAGCAAAGTGCATTTTCTTCTGGTAACTGCAACCTCAGATGCCTGAAGAGGAGTTACTTTGTGCTTCACCGACACAGCTTTCTTCTTAATGGCATTCCATTTTTTCAGGCAATTCCTATTTAACAGAGTAAAATTATCTTGGAGGAAAAATATCACACGTGGCAGAAAAAACATCAGTAAGATTGTATATTAACAGTGAGGATACCCCAACACCTGCCTATCAATAAGAAATTATAGCTGAGGATTTATTTAACCATAAACTATATTCTGTGTCGTAGCTTTTACTAGAATTTTTGTCAAATGTAAAATAATTAATTCTATGGATCATTGGTAATCATAAACTGCTTGAACTTAATGAACTTAGTTATTTTTTATATGATCACATAAAACTTCATTCAAAAATATGTTGGGAATCTTCCACACAGTAAAACAGAGAGCTCCACTCCTGCTGCTTTAACACATTTTCAAATATGTAAAGCTGACCTGGAAATAACCTTCTCGTTCTACAGATCTCCCTAAGATCTCTAGAAGAACCATTCAGTAAACCATGCAAAAAACCCCATTCCATCAGGATGAAAAAAAAATATCTTGACAGGGTTTTTGTCTGTGTCAAAAGAAAGTACAAGAAAGAGAAGCCTGAATCCAAGTCAATTCACAGTAGCAAGACGACTAGTTTAAGGTATACATTAAAAATTGTACATTTATTTTCCTAGTCATCCCCTCAATCTGGTTTGGATCGACACAGAAATAGACATTGCACTGCGGACTCAAAAACTCACTGAAACTGGTGAGAAGTTTTCATTTTGTCTAATTAGATTATCTGATGAAAAACATTAGCTGAACTTCTACCCAATTCTATTCAACATTATTTACAGTGTAGCGCATCTCCCAAAACAGACCAAATAGAGGTGTCTCATATGCAGGTGCTGACCTTACAGCCATGGCTTAATAAGCTCTTCTTCTAGCGTCAGCAGGGACCACTGCAGCTGTAGTGCTTTCCTACATATTCTTACCACCAAGTTTCGTTTAATTCAGTTGATTCCCCCAATTTCACCGCCATCCAAAATAATTATAGCTGGAATGGGTGTGGGGCAGAATATATACAGAAACAAGTGGCTGAGGACGTCTGAAAGACAATATCACCTGACAGGCATCAAATCCCAGCTTTTGTATCCATGTTTGAACAGAGCCCCAAACTACCGTTAACTGTGTTAAGAAGGTGAAGCAACATAGGAAATACACTCACTAGAGTTTCTATTATGGCTCAGCTCCTGGGAGGAGGCTTATGGATGTGAACACGATTTGGTCAATAGAAAAAAAAAGTAAAGGAAAAAAAGCAAAAAATAACTACAGATCTCATTCAGAACAAAACGCAACACATCTCTTTTTGAACTGATTTTCCATCATTCACATAAAACAAGTCTTTTAAAGAACATAAGAAAAGCTACCTGGTTTTATGGCTAGCATTTGAGAAGGAGAGGAAAGAGCAGAATGAATTTTGTGTCACTGAGATCAAATACCACTATTTCGGGACCACATACACACGTAAGCAAACATGATATATTACTTTTGCTACAGTACCTCTAACTGGGCATAAACTTCTTCTGGCATCTTCTGTCCATAGCTTTCTAACAGTGCAACCATCTCTTTTTAAAGGTTCAAAGAGTTCATCAGAAGTTGTCAGCCTCTGCTTCACAGCCAAGAGATGGCCCATGATTTCTACCAGCACACAATAATCTCCCTTGGTCACCTCTCTTCGAAGTCCAGCATTTGTCACTTTTATAAACTCTAAGTCAGTCAGACTACCAAAGAGACAGGTATGATTACAAACAGGGCAAACATTCCTTACTATAGTGAGTAAACATGTAGTAAGCCCTACCGGTACTACTAGTGGCACTTATGCTGTTTTACAAAATAGTTATTTATAAAATAAAATAGAAATAATATACTTTTATGATATCATTTTAAGACATTTTGGGCCTGACTTCCAGAGATGGCAAGTGCTACTATTGAGAATTCACCCAACAGGATATGCAAGTATAGTATCTGGAAAAACAAACAAAAACCCAACCAACCACTAAAAAAACCCTAAGAAAATAAAAATAAAAAAGCTGCAAACCCAGCTCATTGAAGTATTACATGTAAAAAGACCCAAGCTTATAATTATTCCTTTAGTGTATGTAAACATGGACTCCATTTTACCTAACAATGACAGACACATCTCAAGAGATACTCCTTAAACATCCCGCTCCATTTCTTAATAATGTTTAGCAAGCTCATTTTGAAAGGCTTCGTATCCACTTTAAACGAACTTCCAAAAATTTTAGAGTCTTCAAACTTGCTTATCTGAACATAAAGATTTTCATAGATGTCAATCTAGAGCAGAAGAGAGAGAAATAAATGCATATACTCCTCCAATTCCCACTCCCCTCCCCCCCATTAAATAGCTAATTACTAATTCTGTTCTTGCCTGCTCTTTAAACAGTTTAAGGATGGGAGGCTGTTGAGAGCCTTCATCAGTAAGAGACATCTTTGTGGATGCTAAACCATGACCACGGAGAGGGAATTGCTTCGTAAACTCAGACTGGTCCTCCAGCCAGAGAGACGCGTAACTAGCAAGAGATCTTCTGTACTCCAGGGCTTTGCCGGTAACATTTGCCACTCTCTCCATAATCTCCTGCCTGATTTCAGACAGATCAAACACGTTGTCCGTATCATTCTAAGCATCAAAAGAAAAGTTTTGTTATTTCAGTAACTGAGACAGTAATACCAAGTGGTTAAATTTACATGCAGATGGATGACTAGAATTCCATCCCTTTTCCCCAGAGATCTATTAACAAGAAAAATTACAATTCACTCAGCTGTTCCTATTTTGGGTTTACATTTCATTATATGAACACATAAAACCAAACTGAATACATATCCTTTGCAAGTTATTCAAAGCTGAACTTTTCACGAACTATACGTAACTCTGACCTCCAGTTAGGTGGGTACTCCCTTACTTGTCTAAGAGATTAAGTTTCCACTGTGTGAAGATTTACAGACTTCAACATGGCGCCCAAGGTGGAAGTTCACAGCACAACACATCTCATTCAGGAGATGAATATTCAACTAATCTAAATTAGCTTTGTGTAAAATGGGCAACTTCATTCTGCTGCTCATGGATGCAGAATCGGGTGAAAGCATGAGTAAGCCTTCAGAAATTAATGGGACTATGCCTCTATAAACTGCATAACTGAGAGAACAGATGAGGCTCAGGATTTGAAGACTGATGCTATTAAATGAGTTTGCAACTAAAAATAAACTTCTTGCAGCTTACAATTATTCATTCAGTGAAATCATTATGGATTCATTATTTCCAAACACAAGAGGAGAAGTTGTACCTGGTAATGTTCTGATCCCAGGTGTGCTGCTACCCTTTTCACCTGGGCAGACATTTGGAAAACATCACCCAGGAGTTCATCTACTAGGTCATAAAAGCCATCACCAGCCTCTTTATCTAGAGAAGGTTTAAATTGAATCTCTGTGCCATTAAAGGTCATTTGGGCTTGAAAAAGTGGAGCTGGCTTCAAACTTTTTTCTGTGTTCTCCAAAAAGAAGTCTAAAGAATGCGTTATGGTGTTATATAAACCATTGACAACAACGTCATCAACATACTCTATATAAATCTTCCAAGAGGCTGAAGAGGAATCTGCTTTGAAGAGCTTTAAATTTTCCTAAATAAGCAAACAAACAGTCTCACAGTTAAAAAGCCCTTTAATATATGGTTGTGTTAATGTTTTCATTCAATACACCTCCTTGTTTCAGTATTATTTTATATAGTTGCCGTGTATTGCAAAACAACACTTTCTAACATATCTTGCATCCAGTGTGCTGCTGTACCATACTTTGGTCTGTGTAGGAGACTCCTGAACCTCCCTGGAATCACATTCACACTAGCAAAACATCTGTGCAAGGGTGAAGGTATCCCTGCATTGAAAAGACTACAGGTTGGCAGAAAACTATCACACAATACATCAACTTGGATGGAATATTCACATTTTGTAGGAACATTTCTGCATGTTTGTTCTGCATTGTAGTATCAACGCTTGTTATATTTAACTAAACATTAAAAAGAAACACTTATTTTGATCCCCTTCTTAAATAAATATCAATAATATAAATAAAGGCAATAATACAAATAAAATTAGGTCTGAATTGGAACTAAAAGGTACTCTTCAGATAGTAACACTAAGATTAATGTTGATAATGGACACAAAAATTTGTTGCAGTATACACAGAAGCAGGTCCCTCAAAAAATTTGCAAAAATTGAGCAGAGACAAAAAAAACTGCTTCTGCATTCACACCTTGTTAAGTTCTTTGACTCAGTCACTGTATGATACATCACTTGTAGTCACCTAACACAACAGTTCATATTTAAGGATATTATAATTTGATTTAGCGTTCATAAGTAAACTGGTGAATTATCTGTTGTATATTTTTAATTACACATAAGGAAGCAATATTCACATTTCAAATCAAAACTATTTCACAATATATCTAGTGCAAGAAAGCGTTTCAGGACAATTTCTCCAGCTGCAGAAATTAATTTACCCGTGGGGATCACAGGAACATAGCTCAGAGTAACAAAAACGAGACAGCAGCACTATCATGACTGCAGCTTGCCAGTCATTCCCAATCTACCAACTTAAAAAAGCACTAATGTACTTTTCAGAAGAAAAAAAAAGAACTTTGGCAACAATGCCAAATCTGTTCTCTCTTCTCCCTATTTGTCTTCAGACATCAGTCTTAACTTTTGTGCAGTTTGTGCAATTATACAAATAACTGAACAAAAACATGCATGTGACCAAGTATTAATAGTCAAATATTTAACACCCATGTCACTACATCAAAATACAGCTCACTTGGCCATTACCTTTACAACATGACGTATCTGGTAGCTATTTTCTTGCAGCATTTTGTATACTTTAGCAAGTCTTTCTCCTTTGTCATCCAGGTATAATAGAGCTTCTTTTTTACCTTTCCTGAAAAAGAGGGCACGTTCCATCCAAGCGTTCATAATTCCCTGGATTGATCTAACATTGTCCTTTGATTGCTGAACTCTCTGCTCCAAATCACACACTGATGCTTTCACTTGTTTGATGCAGTCCCAGCAGGTTGTCGCCTGCCACATGCATATTTCTTCCACTTTTTTTAGCTCGTCATCAATAGTTCTCAGCTCTTTTTCAGTCAGAGGATATTCTACCTCCAGAGTAGTCTGCATTAGTCTGTTGTACAGCTGAACGACAAGGTCAAGGTTTCCGATACACTGTTCACAGGAAAGGCACACACAGGATGAAATCTCTCTAACGTCCCACACCTGATATTATGCACTTTGCTGGGCAGAACAGCTATTTGAGGGAGGTCCTTTCACACCTACACACTGTGAAAGGGAAACCATGCAGACCTTGAATGTGTCCAAACAGAACAGGCTGCTGGGTAGAAGGCAAGCTATGGGAAGGCAACGGGATCCACAGCCTGGAAGATCCAGACTGGCAGTGCCCCCAGGTATCCAATGCTCAGCTGTGGCCAGCATCGCAAGCTGAAGGGTAAGCTGCGGTGGGATTCTGTTAGACAAAGATGTGATATTTCCTTTCAAAAAGAAGATGAGGATAGTCAGAGCCATGCACGTGCTCGCACACACGCATGCAAGTTGCAAGGGCCATGGTGCAGAAGAAATTAAAAACAAAACACACAAAGCTAAAGCAGAATCTAGAATACTGGGTTGGTTCAACATCAAGGTTAGTTCACCTCTCTTAATAAAGCCACTGGCTAGAAGAAGGAAAGAAACAGTTTATTTCATATTTATCCTTCCAGAAGCCTGAACACAATGACTTTTTGTTTACTTTGTATTTAATCTCAGATACAAGGCATTAGAATATCTTTTTGATGACTGGAGTACAAGAAAGTATACAGGAGACATCTTTTAATTAGTACTCAGCAATTTAAGGGTAGGGATTTAAGGGCTTTTTGAAGTTGATAACTTGAAGGTATGTTACAAGGTAAGTGCTGTCATTATTATATAATTATATTAATATATCTTAATATATTATTATATATTAAATAATATATATTAATATATTAGCATATATTATTATATTTCCTCCATGCATCTCTGGGGAAACCATTTACTACTGTAATAACCTTCTTTACTGTTTAAAGTAAGAACTCTCCCCTGAGCAGGTATAGGGCAACTAGATTTCCCAACTGGAAAACAAAGACAACAAAATAAGTAAGATTTAAGATTTTAAGATTTACTCATACCCTAGAATATTACTGTCATTTTATGAATATGAAGTCAAGGAGAAACATCAGATACAGATTTAATTACAATTATACATACATACCTTAGGGTCAAAATTCACACTCAGGAGGCCATTTTCAGCATTACGCTTAATTAGAGGTTGGTCTAAATTAAACTGACAAATTTCATCCACCTGAACTTTCCATCCGCAGTAGGTCTGATCTTCATATTGGTCAAGGAATTTCAACATCTCCATATATTTCTGAGAAATAAAAGCAGCTTCTGGACTTTCTAAGACTCTGCAAGGAAAAAACCACACCTAGTCAGTTTTCTTCATTTAACGATACCAACTCACAAACAAATTATGGTGGAAGCTTTTGGTTTCCCACATTATTAATTTTTAGATAAAGTTCCATGTATGCTGGCCATTTTTAAGCTAGCCATAGTCTTACCAAACTGAACCAGAGCGGAAAAGATGCATAAAGCAAGAAGCAAGAACAATGGGAACAATAAAATTCTGGGGAAAAAAGGAGAATATGCCCCCATTGTATCTTAGTAGCTATGTCAGTGGAATGTTTGTTACTCAGTAATTTAATTCAGATGGGTCTAATTCTCCTACAGGAGCTTTCCATTCTTTGTGCTACCACCTAAAAGCATGTTTGCTAAAGGATCAGGAAAGGAGGGAGAGATGGAGTACAATTTTCAAATAACTTGGATGTCTAGGTCCCACATAAGTATCTTTGAAAGTGGTGTCACCATAGAAGTATAACACTGTTTATGTGGGGTATGTTAGTGTTGTCCTAAAGCAGCGAAATTCCTGGGTTTGTTAGTTATTGACTCATCCAAAAAAAAAAATCATTAAGCAAACCTCTTACAGTTCTTAAAAAGCAATTCTGAGAGTGTTACTGAGTGCACTTCAATGCAAGAACATGAAGTTTCCAGAATATACCACAAAACTTGAACTATACACATGCACAACATGGATGTATAAATTCACTTGGGTAAGAGACCATATTATGCGGATCGCACTTGTTCAGTGATTAGCAGTAACTTTCCACTAAATCAGTGACTACAAACACAGATGAGGCACAGACGAGTAGAACCAAAATGTGTGTATTCATTCCTTCAGTTATCACAGAATCATAGAATAGTTTGGGTTGGAAGGGACCTTTAAAGGTCATCTAGTCCAACCCCCCTGCCAGGGGCAGGGACATCTTCCACTACATCAGGTTGCTCAGAGCCCCATCCAACCTGACCTGGAATGTTTCCAGGGATGGGGCATCCACCACCTCTCTGGGCAACCTGTGCCAGGGTTTCACCACCCTCAGCATAAAAAATTTCTTCCTTAGATC